CGCGCAAGAGCGTTCGACAGATTTCGACATGCGCGCGCGAAGCCCGTTTGGTAGCATTTTGTGAAAACCTTGGAACACCTATGGTTTTCTTAAGATTTCGCAAGAGCTCGCGCGTAAGTTTTTCTTTGAATCAGTGTTGCGAAACCATGTGTTTTTATGTGTTTTTTGGAAATTCAATTTTGAAATCTCTCCGGAACCGAAGGTTTTTTAAGGATTTCGGCATGCGCGCGCCACGACGCGCGCGTGTGCACTTCGTCCCATTTGTTGCAAGGGATTCGTGAAAAAGTGATATGTTAGAACAAAACATGTCACCGCATAGTGTTTTTTACAAGGGAACCGCAGGGGGGGGAACCCGGCTTGGCTGGGATGGTATGAATTCATATTTAGGATGGACATGTGGTCAGAATCATATGTAATTTACAGCACGCACGGGGTAACCGATAAGTCCGGGGGGGGGGGGAGAATCTATTAGTCTTTTAGAAAGGAGAATATATGTCGCGCGATCGACGATGTGCAATATATGATGTCACGTGTACGTGGTGCAATGCAGGCGGTGCAATTTATGTGGTGTAACCTGGCTGGTGCAATATATGTTGTGCAATCTAGGTTGTGCGATATATGCGTTGCGATCTACGTTGTGCAAGCTACATGGTGCGATCCGTGTGGTGCAACCTATGGGTAAGATCACCGCTCTCGCAATCACCTCACCCACTCACCCGCAGCTTGGTTTTCAAAACCGGTGCGGGGGCAATTGCGATTCCTGCTTTGCGCTCGCTGGCGCATCTCTGCGACCGCGCTGGCGCTCGCAAGCTCGCGCGCAAAGCCGCCAGGTAGGTTGGCGCGAAAGCCGCGGCCGCCCAGGCGCTGACCGCTGGGGACTTCCCAACGCGTCTCGCAGGCCGCACTGACGCGCGGGCACTTCAGTACGACTCGGTGACTCGGGCGGGCGCGGTATCATGATGACGTCGACAAAAGCGGACATGATGATGATAGCGATGATGGTGGCGATGATGACGATGACGACGGTAAGGCTAATGACGGTGCCGATGCTGGTCACGCCGATGACGGTAATGGTGTGCACGCCATGTGTCAGTGATGAGGGTTTTGGATAAATTCGACATGCGCGCGCGGCCGAGGCGCGCGAGTGGCCCGCATGCTATGGTTTGACAGGGGCCGCGCCCCCCCCCCCGCAGCAGGCGCGAAAGGGCGTTCGAATGATTTCGACATGCGCGCGCGAGAGGCCCGCTCGCAAGAATTTGATAACAATTATGAGAGCCGGTGGCCTTTTTTCCATAATAACTAGCAGGAGCGCGCGGGTAATGTGTCCTTAGAGAAAGACCATATTGCCACATCACTGTGTGTGATTATTGTTCCTAGCAACTTCGATCTTGAAAGATCTACGACGCCAAACTTCTTTTGAGGAGTTCCAGCATGACGCAAGGACGCGCGCTTTTTTGATATATATATATATATATATATATATATATACATACATGCATATATACTTATACATAGATATATACATGTAAAATACCTATACGACCACCCTTCGGGTTATGAGGAGGTTGGGGGGTGGGGAGGGGGGAACCAACATCTAACTCAATCGATCTCACTATCGGCCTCACTCAACGGGACACCACGGGACACTTGTCGATCTCACTATCGATCCCACTACCGATCTCACTCAAAGGGGCACCACGGGACACCGCAGGACACCTCTCGATCTCACGATCGGTCCCACGATCGATCTCATCCAACGGGACACCAGTGGACACCACGGGGCACCTCGGGACACCACATCGATCTCACTATCGATCTCATTGTCGACCTCACTCAACGGGGCACCACGGGACACCTGTCGATCTCAGTATCGTTCTCACTTTTCGGGACACCACGGGACACCACGGGACACCTCGGGGCCACTGCCGGACGGGCTTGAGAGGGTTAATAATTTGTCTCGACTTCGCCCTAGCAACGGCGGGTTCACCGATACGTGTGCAAAGGATCGCTGTTGCGTTAAATTGTAATGAACGAGCGCGCGCGGATAGTATTAGTTGACACGGATGAGGGGCGAGGGCCTGGCCAGGATGGTACGGATTCATATTCAAGACGAGCGATGGGGCATCATCATATCTATACGACCATCCTTCGGGTGAAAAGGAGGTTGTGGGGGGGCGGGGAGAGGTGGGGGAACCAGTATCCGACTCAATCGATCTCGCTATCGATCTCACTCAACGGGACACCGCGGGACACCTCTCGATCTCATTATCGGTCCCACGATCGATCTCATTATCGATCTCACTCAACGGGACACCACGGAACACCTCGGGATATCACATCGAGTTCATCATCGATATCACCATCGATGTAACTATCGATCTCACTCAACGGGACACCACGGGACACCACGGGACACCTGTCGATCTCACTATCGATCTCACTCTTTGGGACACCACGGGACACCTCGGGCACCACATCGATCTCACTATCGATCTCACTA